AACAGAGCCTGAGTCTCCACTTAAGTGTTGTTTTATTAGAATTCATTTCTGTTATTTGTTCCTTTAATTTAGAAACACATTTTTTATTTGATTTTTTTAATTAATTATATGTACAAGTATATATATGTTTTATATGACATGTTTTGTTTTTTTATTTATTCAAGACTACTGAAAAAAACTTATTTAGGCAAACAACATCATGAGGCTCATCAATAGCATGCCAGGACTGTCTTAGCGGAAGTTTTTTAACTACATTATTCAATACGGTCTGGTTAAAACCAAGTTTTTTAATATTTTTACCTGATCATAGCATATTTCGAAAGACTTAAGAATATCTACTCTGCAAAAATAATTGAGATTTTTTTATATGTAGAAGGGATGGTTATGTTCTCATAGTTTTTGGATTTTTATCATTACAATATTGGCTTCTAGACAGTAATGCAACTGCAACACCTACATTTAGTAATTTATGGGTGTAGATAATTGGACACAAATGTTACAGTTGTTAAAGTAAACCATTTCTAAATTACTGATCCATAATGTTTAAATTATCATGTTGGATTTTCCTCAGCAGATAAAAATGTATGAAAAACTGTGTAACAAACTATGCTGATGCCAAATACTCATATCAACACATACTGGGCCAAAACCCTGCTGCCAATGGGATAAAACCATCATAAATTAATGCTTTTTATCGTGTACATAATGCTGCAGCGCAATAATTATCTTATTTCTATCTGAGAGGTGAGCACATGCCCTTGTGAATTATATGGCTGTAATAGGCATGCCATTCGCAGCTAAAAATGATTAAAATCAATCACCCAGCCCTTACAAAGAAGGTCATAGAAGTATTTTAAGGGGGGATTTTCTTAAGCTATTGCTTTAGGAAAGTATTCGTCTTTATGAGGCAATTATCACCTAAAAGAGCTGGCAGAGGCAGGGGGTCTGTAAGCCTCATAATAATAAGTATCGGCAGTGTTTCTTTCCAACATTACCAGGTATTTAAAGCCCAAAATAGAACTGTCTACAGTTTAAATTGTGCATTTTTTATGGACAGTCATAAATATGCTCGTAATGAAATACGAAATGCTCAGGATCTTTCTTTAATGATAACAAACGTTGGAGCAAAAGAGAAATTACTGCCCAGATTCTACAAATGTAAAGCCTACCTTTGTTTTTACGTTACAGTACACTAACCATTAGATAATTATAAATAGCACAGGATTTCTATTAAGTTACTGACAGTAGGTAAAAAAACAAGAAAGTTGTTCAGTTTTACATGAAGTGCCTGGTTAATAGCTTTAGCCTTTAAAGAAGCAGAAGTATCAAATTGTATCCCTTTCTTAAAATCTTAAACTTAATTTTATTAACATTTATATTCCAGCCTTTGTATACTTAGAACAAGCCAGGGGAATGTCACTTCTACCTTTCCATCTAGAAAATGAAATTTCTGCTCATTATAAACCCAGGTTTAACAGGACAGAGAATGTCATAAAATACCAGTTTTTTATTTAACTTTACTGGGACTGGCTCCCTTGCATGTTACTCTCCGTTGTTTACTTTCCTGATTTCTGTTGCACTGGACACATCATCATCACTAACCTAGCCTGATGATGTAACCAGACACTCAGCAGTTTGGGTATAGAGGCCACGCAGCTTGCCAGCAGGGGTCAGACCCAGCATTTTTTGCCAAGAAGAAGCCAATTATTGATTGTTAGCGAGTCGACCCATGTTTGAAAACCTGGTTAGCTGCTCATTTCAATGGGAAAGAGGCTTTAGAGATTTCTAACTGCATCTAGTTCTGGACTTTAATTAGGCCATTCTAACTCATGAATATATTTTCTCTAAAGCATTCTGTTTTCAAATGGGTTATATGACCTGTGGTGCTTTGTTAATTGGTGTGTTTCAGACATTTTGCTGCCACCTAAAGATTCTCTTTCAGAAATAGCTTGTACTATTAAACTGCCTCACCATGTCAAACGGTGGGGATTGTTTGTTCAAAATAAGGTGTTGTGTTAGTTTAATCACATGCAGCATTTCTTTTGCATGCTTTCATTTGAACTTTACTTATCTGAACACCTTCTCTTGCAAGTTTGCTGTTTCTGTCTCTTCATAGCCTGTTACAAAGTGCAACAGGACTTATGCCAACGCTCTCTTTGTGCAGCTGGAAAAATTGGGTTAAGATGTAAAAGGCTTCATACAGGAATTTCTATTTGATTTATAACTTAACTTCAATTTATAGTTATAAAAACAGCCAAACGGAATAAGTCAATGATACTGTAAGTCCTCCAAAGAGGCTTGAATGTTAATTTAAAGTACCTTCTGAAAATAATAATCTTTAATCAGGTGCCGCCTTAATATTTCAACCTGCTCTGGTTACAATGGTAGTTAATTGCCAAAAAAAAGACATCCCGTATAGAACAGAGATTAGAGGATTAATAGTGCATTTCACACTAAATGCATTTTCTTACAATGAAAAGTGTGCAGGATAATGATCCTACTAAACTATTATTTTCTTGTTCGGAGCAGCAGGCCCCTCTGCATATGTACCTGTGGCCGACATTGCATTGCATGCCAGGCTTTTGGGGATTTCCCGCTGGCGTTTGTAGTGGCTGAAACTGCATGTACTAGAATATAAAATGTAATACTTTTAATAAGCAGTTTTGGACATTTTCAGTCAATGTAGGCAATATAAACTGTTTCAGCTCAGTTCAGTAAGAAAATACAGCGTAATAATCAAAGCACTCTCATTTGCTGCAACATAATAAGTACATTCTCTTGGCCTTTAAGCTAAAACCACTGGAGTTTTATCCCTTTATATATACAGTATACATATTTAATTTTCATGGCTTTACGCTGACAGCCCCACTAAAGCAGAATTCAGTCTGTCTCCCTGGATCAGCTTTTCTGATTGGCTGATTCTCAAAGAACAGCTGTAAAACTCCACCGTTCAATTATGGCATCAAGATTCTGTCAAAAGTTCACAAATGCAATAAATACTCCTACAAGCAGCTCTACTTCATACAGACGATAAGAAACTCTTCCTCACGCACATGTTTAACATGTTACATGCCCAAATAGAGTACCACAGGTCTCCATTATATCAAACACACAAGTGCTTGGTCCTGCGCCTGTGTGGATTTGCAGCCTTGATTAGCTACTTTTAAGGAAATCCTACATCTTGAGGCTGTACTCTTCTTCAAAAGCAAACCAAATCAACTTCAGGTTTTCTTCAAGTGTTAGAAGTTGGTAAGGTAAGCCATCATTAGACATAACATGGTCGGGATCAATACTAGATTCTGACTGAACGTAGGGTGTCCATTAAAAAGGGTTATAGGACATCTACAAAAAAAAGTTCCGGTCAAATAAATCAATAGTTCTTACTAGCTCAAACATGGGACAAGGGAAGACAGTTTACGCTGGTTACCTTGGTAGTGTGTCACAAATGAAAAGGAGACAATCACAGGTAAGTTGCTTTGTCCTGCGGGTAAAGCTTCTAAAGTCACAAAAGTTGACATGAGTACGCATAAACAGGTCCACACGTGAGGAGGGAGGCTGTGCGTGCGCTGATAAGAAACAAGCACTCGTGTGCGATATATTGGGTATAGTGTTGTACTCTATTTGTACATGTAACATGCTAAAAATGCATGTGAGGAGTAGTTTATGAGCATCTGTATGCGGTAAAGCTGCTCATAGGAGTATTTATTGCATATGTTGATCTTTGCTAGAATCCTGATGCCATATTCAAAGCTCTAGATGCTGGAAACTTGAACGCTCGATATACCCTATTACCGATGCTGGGGAGGCTGCGAGACTTGCCGCTCCCGATACCCAAACTGTGCTGCTGGAGTCTCCTCAACGGCAACACCCTTTGACTTTGCATGTTAACCAGACGCTAAACACACATTTGGTGTGTTACTACAACAGCTGGTAACAATAGGAAAGCTGTGGCGCCTCGCCTCTGGAATGAGCTAGCTTGTACCATTCGTTCTCTTGTTTGTATAGACACTTTTAAGAAACAACTAAAGACCCACTTTTTTAAACTTGCTTTTTAGTTTAATACTGCGTTTACTGTTTCTGTATGTTGTTTTAATTTATATTAACTTTTTATAAATTTGTGCAGCACTTTGTGACCCTGGTCTGTGAAAAGTACTATAGAAATAAAGTTTACTTACTTACTTACTTAGGAAAAGGTCACGGTTTGCAGTTTCCCAGTCAGGTGACTTCTGAAGGCAGTTGGTAAAACTTGATTGTTTTTATGGATGTCCAATTAGAATAGGTCTCAATAGAAAGACCACACTTTTTAGATTTTTATTAAAACAAAATAAAAACAAAAAAAAAGTACTTCAAGTACCCAAAGGCTTCACCAGACTCCTGCTTTGTTCATCAAGCCCTTAATGTCTGCTCCCAGTTAGTGAGGAGCCACTCTGCATCTGCTCCACACACAGAACGAAGCCTTGGCTCCAAACTGATTTCACTCTTAAAAGAAAAAAGAAGCTGAAAATACCTTGTCTAACAATTAAATGGACCCACTATAAAAAGGGGTTGACTTTTATTGTACTTATAAGGTACTAGCCTCTTAGCTGAACACTTTATTAACAGCATGTGAGCGTCTGCCTTTATAGAGCTCTGTCTGGTTTGGGCCAACTATATATTGCTTGCCTAAAGTGTATGAGGTGAACTATATAACAAATACCTCCCACCTAACAATTACTGAAAAATGTTAGTAAATATTTGCAGGTAGATTTGGGGCAAGTAAAATAATGTATGGCATGGCTAATTGGGCTATTTTTTTCTTTATTCACCATCAATTGTTCTGTAAGCTGAATGGAAGAGAATGGATCGTTTTTTTCTCGGAGAGTTCTGTTAACAAGAAGCTTGAGGTGGTTTTCACTCGATATCTGACAACAAAGCTGCAGGGTAGTGAGAGCTACCAGGTAATTGATGGATTGTAAAGTGATCTTAATTGTTTGGTGATAGGTTCAAGAAAGGACACTTACAGAGCCTGACATTTGAGATAAGGCCTCGCATTCCTGAAGTCGACCTGCCATGGTGTCCACCCCGGGCAATGGCGCTGCTCCAGACAAATCCATTCAAAACAAGGCAAGCAAAGAACACAGCGGAGAGGAACAAAAACATACAGGACAGATATGCAATAAAAAAAAAGAAAAAAAAAGGTTTATATTTCTTTCACTTTGTTATGAAACTCACAGGAGATGTCAGGCACAGCTTGCTCAGATATGTGAGACCTGTGGTCCTCCTCAGATCGGCTGTCTGATAGTGTGTCTCCCTGCAGCCTAGAAACAACACGTAAAACATACACACATCTGTATACAAGGCCAGAGAACTATTCATGCACTGCATGTCGAGAAGCTACACAACAGATAAAGATGAGACAAGCTGGTTTCCATCATTCTGAAGTGATGAGACACAGAGGAAACATTTACCAAGTTCATAATCTCCCCAGTAAAATATGGGATGATGAAAGTTGAAACATAGGGGTTAGCCTTGAGATTCTGTTGCATGTGACACCAGAATACTGGGTTTATAGGCACAGTGAAGGAGTAATAATGATTAAAATGATACATTGAGGACACCGATACCAAAAGGAGAAAAAGTTTCTTATCTATCTTTTTGTTAAAGTTGTATCAGATCATCAAAATAACATTTATTATCAGATAAAATTACATAAAAAATGCAAAAGTTGTTTAAAGGTTCATATTGAAAAGGTTCCTGGATGGGAAGCGAAAAATCGTTAAGCTTGGAAACAAAATCCAGTAGATTGGTTTTTTTTTTTTACTTTTTGGAATGACTATAACATGGATGACTGAGAATCTTCACCAGCATGAAATGCATTATTTGCTTGCAGTCCAATAGAGGTCTGATCTGTTTTCCATAGATCTGGTATGAAGTGCTACTTTTAGCATTCTTCATGTTGGCACATAGGTTCTACACTGGAAAAACGATCAAGAAATAAGTAAAATTTTCTAAATAATTAAGTGTATTTACCCTTAATTTGAGTAGGTAAATGAGATAGTTTGCCAATGGAGTTAGTATATGTACTCTTTAAATAAGATAATTAGATAATATGCACTTGAAATAAGACAATGCAATTGTTTTTTTTTTTCTTATTTTAAGTGTAAATTGTCTTGTTCTATTGGCAAAATGTTTCTTTTACCTCCTTAATCCAAGAACAAATGCACTTATTTTAAGAAATAATGACTTATCTAGATTTCGTTTTTTTCCAGTGTATGCAAGTGATGTGATTCACCTGGAGTTTTAAATCAAGGAACCAATAACATTAGATTTGTAGTCTCATCATGAATGCTCAGCTAATCAAATGCATGAAAACCATCTTTATAATATGACACAATTTCTGTCAATGTGAGTTTTATTGTTTTAGCTTTTTTATCACCTTGAAATGTTTCAGATCAAACTAATTTTAACCTAATGCGAAGATAACAATCCAATACAGAATCAGTTTTTTTTAATGTGTATTTTGTACAACTGCTTTAGAACTTTGTGTAAATTTTGTATTATTATAGAAACAAATTATACTAGTTTGTTTGTAATGTTTGGCAAAAAAAAGTATCCTTTTAACTGGATTTTCTCTTTGCAGTGCTTCACTATTTGACTCGTTTAACAATTTTGGACTTTAACATTTCTTTTTTCCCCTCACAAGTGTTCTCAGAACTATCAGGTTTAAACAGTATTTTCTTAATATATGGCCATAAAGAAGTTATTTGAATTCTTTGTTCCACTTTGAAGAAAGCAGCTTCTCTATACACATTGCAAAATTTATAAAACTACATCTCATATTCTTAGTACTTGACTATTGCTGCTTTTTATCACCATGTGTTCCAAGTCCTTATTGCTTTGTTTTTGATTTTATGAAGATAAATTTGTGGAGAAATCCATGCTGGTCTCAAGGATTTGGCTTTGACCTCAAGGGAGGAAAAGATTTACATTCCCAGATATTAAAATAAACTGTGGGGTAAAAACAGAAACTGATCCATCAACAATCCTCTACAGCATTAAAACTTTAAAATTAAAACATTGGATCAAACTGATGTTTAATTTGAAAAATTATATTAAAAAACAAACTAAATGTTAAAACATTGCAGGCCTAACCTTGCCTGGGCTGTATTCCTAGCCACATGGTCTCTTAGTGTTCAAGTCTTAAATGAGGAGTATCAAAAATATTAAGTCTAGTCTATTTTATTTCTTTTTGTCTTTAAACTTGTGTATCCTTCTCTCTTGCACTGATAAAAGTTATGGTAAGACATTTAAAGTAAGACAAAATGGCTCAAGGGTGCTATTACAGGCTATTGCTAATGCTTGTAGATGTGACAGACGTTTCTTCCGTAGAATGGACTGTAAAAGGCTTTATATAAGGTTGAAACCAGAAGTTTACATGCATTTTGAGAAGTTTTTATTTCTTGCCCTGTCTAAAATTTAACCACTTTAAATTAAGGATATTTTACTTCACTTATGGACTAATTCTATTATCCTGAATAATTAGCCTGAATCATGGAAGATGGTTGTTAAAGACTTTTTTTAATCATTATCCTCCAATTTAAATGTATTCTGCTTGTTAAAATTACCATTTAATCTTTACCACTCACGTCAGCCAATTTCAGTTTAAGAACTGTAGTATTTTAACTTTTCTTACTAGCCTTTACATCCCCAGATTACCATGCAGTTTGATAGCCTATTGGCTATTGTTTGGAAAGCATAGCCTCGTACCTTCTGCAAACAGTACTGTGCGCTCACTTTTAGCACATTAAAGGTATATTGGAGGATGTTTTTCCAGGTGGATCATCTAAATAAGTGGTCCTCCTAATTGTCAATCATTCTGGTGATACGTTACGTTTATGCCGTCCTACGTGCTTGTTCCCATTTTTACTTACTGGTGGTAAGTCTGACATTGCAGAAAAATTGCAAATCTTCTTCTGGAAACTAAGCTTGTAATAGCGATGCAAACAGCAACGTTAAAACAGAGCGTGCAAGATGAGAAGTGGGCTTGTGCATGCTCTTGCACGAGTTCAATGGCATTCCCTCTTGGGAGCGGGTATAGGATTGTGCATGAGTTTTTATGCACAATCCTTTTTATGCACAATTTAACAATAGTTAAATTGTTATGTACTGTATGATTAAGTCTGGTATAAAACATATTTATTTATTTATAGTCCAGACGGCTAGATATAAAAGAGTGTAAAACCTGCTCAGAGGTTAAAAGATAAAAACAATTTTACCCTAGATAAAAGACTGAGATGATAAAACACGATTTTAAAATTTCGTTATTTGTTTGTCCAGTTTAAAACCGCTTTCAATGATGACACCAATGCTTGTTACTTTCAAAATCAGTGAAAGGTCCTAAGTCAGAGATGGCCCTGCCAAACACCATCACCTCTGTTTTGCTCTCATTTAGATCCAGAAAATGTTTCAATATCCAAGTCTTGACGTCACCCAGACAGTCTAGTACAGTTTTCTATATACTATACAAAGGTAAAAAACACATAGTTGTCATCATTGCATTTTATATATTTTTCTTTGGTTCTCCCCTCTCTGGTTTAAACTCTGGCTCAAACATGTATGGATGGGCATGCACTGTACAATATTTCCAATGGTTACTCTCAGCTACAGCTTAAACTGTAGGTCAAAACCGCAGGGTTTAAAAGTTCACAGCTCACGATATCTGTTCCTAGAGTTTACGGCCCGATGCTCTGATACGATCTGACTGCTCAAACAGAACCTTGAAAATCCCCTGTGTGAAGATATTTAAAGATTTACAACTCAGCCGGGCCAACAAGACAGGCTGAACGGGCCACAGTGCTTGCCAGTTGACATTTCTTGGGCACTATTTTCCCCTTTCAAACTGATCTCTGACCTCCGTTAAAGCATGCTTCTGTATTTGTGTCAGAACTTAAGTTTTTTTTGTAAAGCACATGAAAGAAAACTATGTGAGCACTGTTTTTCCATCTCTCTGATCTATTTAGGGTCCTTATATTACCCACAAATTGACTGACAAAGACCAGGACTCCATGAAGAATAAAACGAATGAGAAATTTGGTGGTCAGATTTACAAGGAACAAAGCAATAATTTAGCCAGAGCCTTAAGGAGACAGCAAAACAGTGAAGAAGAACAGATGGCTGATGCTTCTGAAAAAAGCGCAGAAAGAAATCAAAGCAACCCTTCATAAAGATATTACTTCACTTTGTCTGTATTCTAGCCATTTGACAAGGGTAGGCATAGGCAGTTTCGCTTAAAAATAATGCAAATAAAAATTCTCCAAACTAAATCCAGAGATAAAAGTCCGTCAACAGCACATCTTCTGACAACATCCTGCATCCTGTGTTTGGAAAAGTTGATAAGCTGCATCAATGAAAGAAAAGTTGCAAACAAACCAAAAACAGCAAAGGCTGCACAGACAGATGTGTGCCTGGCATCTTATCAAGGAGATACTCATTTATCTCAGACTGGCATCACAGTAGATCTATGCCCACACCTGTCTGAGGTATCGCACTAAAAACTCTGAAATTTGAGTGCTACACTGATGCTGGACAAAGAAAGAAATGTGTCAGAGGAGAAGACAGCGATAGAGACAGAAAAAACGATAAGACACACAATAATCCATGCAGGATCTATGAAGAAAAGCAGCATAGCAGGAAAAAAACCCTAAGCTATTATGTTATTCTCTGGATACCAGCCTATATGGATACCTATTTTTTATCACTTCTTATTTTGGGATAAAAGAAAATTGAATATAAGGAAACAAGGAAGAGAGCACAGAAGGAATTAGAATATACAGAAAAAAAAGGGAAAGAAATTAAATAATGGCAACAGGAAGGAAAGACAGGTTGTAGGGGTGCACAAAAAAGGACAATAGAAAAAGTAAGAACACAAAATGTAAAAGGCATAAGAAAATAATTAATTCAAGAAGAGACGCAAGGAAAAAAGAAAGAGAGAAGGAAGAAAAGAAAGAACTTTCAGAATTGGAATAAGAAATCAAGCCTGAGAAAAACTAAATTCTTCCTTACTTTATACCAGTTTTCTGTAAAAAAAAAAAAAAAAATAAAAAAAAAAAAAAATAAACACTATTAATATTAACAGGGATACAAATGTGGGAACTGGGAAGCTGTTTAAAATGAAATATACCATTTGTTAAGCCACCTTTCTCTGATGAAACAGGCAGTGGACCTTTCATTCAGGCTTCTCCATGGTTTTAAAGTAGGTTTCAGAGTGCTATATGCTAATAAAGATGATATGTAATAACCAGAATCCCAGCAACAAATAAGCAATCCACTTTCTACCACCACTTAGTTACCAGGTAAGAAATCAGACCCTAGAAGAGTATTTCTGATACAGTTAAACTGTTCAAATCTGCAAAGTTTAAGATTTCTCAGATCAGGATAGGTTAAAACATTTACCTGGCACACCTAGAGCAGATGTTAAGGGTAACTTTGGCCTGTGGTTCGGACTGATAGGAGCTGCGTCCCTGGCTGAACTTACTACCGGATGGAGCCAGCCCTGTTACGCCCTCCATCCGCAGGTCATCCAGGTCCTCTGAGAACAGTACATAAAGGCAGGGGAATGTAGAGAGGAAAAAAAAGAAAGAAAGGTCATCCATTAATCATACTTTTGTCTTTCCTCCTTAACATAATGCCTGCGATGACAGTCTGCTGTGAGTCAAAGAAGCAACAAAGATCACAGTAGGTACACATTGTCAGTACAGTTGTTCAGATGAATTTCCACAAGAACATCAAATGATGAGCTTTTGGACCAGTTTCAAAACTGCAAAACCATTTCCAGTTAGAATCATGTCTCAAGGAGGGCGATGAAGGTAAAATATTTTTACTCTGAAAGGAAAAATGAACAATGGAATGGGGGTCAGAGAGGTTTTCCTTATATATTTTATATACCCTTGAGGATCAGTTGATAAGGCTCTTTCTTATTTGATCTGAGAAGCTGTCAACATGGAGGGAGTGAAAATATGACATTTGGACAAGATACACATCTAAACAAGATCTGCTGGCAAAAGCACATGATGGATTTTCAACATCAAGGTGTAATCCTGTGAATTTCAATACTTCTGTCTGAGCCAGAGCACCATTGTTGAAGAGAAAAATGCTTGAATCTTTCAATACCACTAGTTGTGATAGATTATTAAAGTAATTGTGCTGTGTGGTATAAAGAAAATGGGCCTCAAAGCTACAAATTTAGAAAAGCTGGACAGTAGGCCGTCCTATGTGCTTCTCCCCATTTTGACTTACCTGTGGTGAGTCTGACACAATGGAAAAATTGCAAATCTTCTTTTGGAAAGGAAGCTTGTATGAGCGATGCAAACCGCAACTTTTAAATAGAGCGTGCACGAGGAGAAATGGGCTCGTGCACGCTCTCCCACGTGTTTAATAGACGTTCCCTCTCGGGAGCTGGTGCAGGGTTGTACATGTGCATTTTTTTAAGCTGGAGAGGGTGGGTCTTTTTAAAATTCTTTACCTTACTTTTGAGTTTTTGTCGATATTCTTGACATACTATTAGAAGTTTAAATAAACAAGCCAAATGACATGATGCCTTTCTTACAATGATAATGATGATCTGGGACTACTGAGCTTCTAAAGGACTTTGATGACTTGCCATAAGTGAAAGGGACAATGGATTCCTTTCCTTCTATATCAAACTCTGAACATAAGTGATCCAAAACACACACGAAAATCCACCTCTGAATGTGTTATGTGTTTTTATTGCTTTATAGTGTGGTTCACTAAAAAAACATACCCAAACTTAAATCTCATTAAGATGCTGTGGCATGATTGCAAACAAGAGGTTAAAGCCTTATATTGTGGTGGGAAAAGAGAAAAAAAAGAAAAACCCAATTCTGCAACATATACTGGAAAAAAGTTTGTCTACAACTAAAGGGGGATTTCTTATTCCACAAAGAGCCAGATCAATATTTACAGCTTCCAAACATTGAATCCTTCAGGAAATATATTTGGATGTAATCTGGATTTTTTTCACCTCTTATTACAAGTTTGTTTGATAGTCTAATTTAAAGTGACAAAATAAGAAATCTGTAAGGAGAGGAATGTTTTTTTATATATATATATTTGTTTATTGTATTGTGCTAAACCTTTTAATGAACAATACCTTTATTGCAATCTATAATAAAAAAATTACTTATAGTAAAGTTAGGCTATTTTCATAAGTAAGCATCAAGATTTTTGACTTTAGAATTTCACTCCTATATACACGCTGCTAGAGAAAATGTGTCCCTTAGTAGGAGAGATAAGGTGCATTCCATTAATACCCCAAAGCGGAGCCATATTAGATGTCCCATTCATCATGGTACGCTCTGGAGGTGTGGGGGCAGAGACAGCCACCAGCGATTTGGGCAATTTTCTGGTCGTGGGAATTGCACAATGTGGTGCCTTCCCTCCTTTCCTGTTTTCTCCAGGGCCATTCCCACTTCTAGTTTTACCCTTTTCATTCAGCAACCCACTAACTGACATACCAGATTTTCTTTGGGTCATAGGGTGTGATGCAAATCATTACTCGGCACTCTGAAACAAACACTCATGAAACTAACTCTGGAGTAAGACAGCAAAAGGATACGTTTAAATGGTCCTGACCCTGATGACGAACATGACCTTAAAGGTCCACAGCTGCTTGTCACCGCAACTGTCTTTTGTGTTTTTGCCTTTTTTCCTATCTCCATAAAACGTTGCACTGAGAAGGAAAAAGCCTGAGGGTCTGAGGGAATAAAACATTCAAATGCCTGACACTAAAACAGTAAACCACACAAAAACCTGAGCTTTGTATTGAAGGAGTCATATAATGCGGAGGTCGTCAACAGGGGGTCCGCGACCCCTAGGGGGTTCGTGGAGGTACTGCATGGGGGTTGCGAAAGTTTTTTTTGTTGATTAGATGTTTTTTTTTTTATATTCCCCCCAGCAATTTTTTCCACTAATTGAAATGTATTTAAATACACATTAACATTAATTCAACACATTGTAGTAAACAGATAAATGGAGACAAAAGATGTCTTTCAGTCATCAATGCACACATTCAGCGACACACAGGAGCTCTTTCAAGCTGGGCACCGTTTCATTCACAACACCTGTCCCATCAACCAGGAATCAGAATCAGAAATACTTTAATAATCCCAGGGAGAAATTTATTTCTTTACATTACTCCATCTGTAATAGAGTGACTATAGGACACAATTTCATACAATATATATAGTTAGGGGGTCCCCGCTCCATCTCGCCATCAGTTTGGGGGTCCTTGGCCTGGAAAACTTTGAAGACCCTGGTATATGGCATTCAACAAAAGTAAGAATGTTTTTTTTTTTTCTTGATGACAAATGAAGATTAAGAAAAGGAAATTATTTTCGATCAATAATAAGAGATAAAAAGGTGATGGGGTATAAATAAGGTGATAAAAGATTCTCTTCTTTGTATTTAGTGTACGTTTGTGGACAAAATAGAAATGTATATATGTAATACAACACCAGTTTAAGCTTCTATCTGCTAAATAATATTTGCCTTACTCAGGCTTAATACCCCAGACACACTGTTGCACTTTATTACCTGTTTTCACAGTGGTATAAAAGGATCTAAAAAAGATAAGGGTAATAAAACAAACCTCAAGCATAGCCTACACATCTGATGTCGTATATAAATGTGTTTTTAAGGTAAGCCAAACTACTATGAAAAAAAAAAAAAAAAAAAAAAANACCGTTTCATTCACAACACCTGTCCCATCAACCAGGAATCAGAATCAGAAATACTTTAATAATCTCAGGGAGAAATTAATTTCGTTACATTACTCCATAGAGTGACTATAGGACCAGTTTAATATAACACAATTTCATACACTATACTGTATATAATTTGGGGGTCTCCCGCTCCATCTCACCATCAGCTTGGGGGTCCTTGGCCTGGAAAATTTTGAAGACCCCGGGTATATGGCATTCAACAAAAGTAAGAATGTTTGTTTTTTTCTTGATGACAAATGAACGAACCTCAAGCATAGCCTACACATCTGATGTCGTATATAAATGTGTTTTTAAGGTAAGCCAAACTACTATGAACATTAAAACTCAAAAAAAAAAAAACATATACATCTCACAGGTGCAGCTGACACTTTAAGGAATTTGCATGCTTCTACTTGTGTCACAGTTATGTCCAAATATTTTTAGTAAGTCTTAAAAAACTTCATGCTTTCTGACCTGGAAAAACACTATTGTGCTTCTTCCTTTTAAGTTTGATGCCACAGGGATGTCTCTTAAATGCTGTAACTTTTATCACGACGAACCAAACCTTATTTCCATAAAATGTTTCAATATTAATCTAAAATCAAGTCTTATTTTTGATTATTTGATTATTTAACTTTTGTATATTATTTTCCGAAGTAAACACTTAAAAGACCAGACATAAATCATTAGCAGTACTAGTT